TGATTGGTTCTGATATAAATATTAAAAACGTTGATTTGATTATTAAAAATGTTAGTTTATGGCTTAACATTTTGGTTTTTTATTTATCTCATTCATAAGTTGGGACGATGAGTTTGTTCGTCGTGTTCAGATAACTAGAGTTGAACTTTTACACGATGTTCGATTATTTATATTTAAACAACACAATTTTGTTCAAATTATTAAGATTGACCAACTATTAAATGTTCATACATAAAAAATTGAACATTTTAAGTTTGTTCAGTAAAAATAAATTAAACTTTTGTTCGTTATTCAGATATAAAGTATGAACACATTAAGTTTGTTCAACTCTGTATTATTGAACATGACTAATTTGATAAATTTGTTAAATTTTTTACAAAATTTTGTACCCACCCAAAGTGATAATGTTGAAACTGATTGTGAGAATGAAAGGTGCGAATCAATGGTGAGAATGACAATCTGAAATGACAACGAGAGACAAGAGTTCAACACAGATAATGAAGATCAACATTGGCGAAGATGGAAACCGAATGAATCACTCCGCCAGGACAAGAGTTTAACATCAACTATGGAGATCAACATCGGCGAAAATAAAGGTCTAATGAACCTCCGTCGGCGATGGAGATCAAGACCGACGAAGATGGTCTCTATTCTAAAGATTGTGGGGGTTTTTATTGTGTGTAGTGGTGAAAATGAAGATTTTTTTGTGTGTGTAATGATATGTATTCAAATGTTAGTGGTGTGTTAATATAGGATTGGTAATGGAAGCTAAGATATGAAATAAGATATTTTTAAACCCTAAAAATTATTTTGTGTATGTACTAATTAATGGTGCATACCAAGAATATTAATGGTGTGTAAATAGAATCACCATGATACAAATTTATAATTTAAAGTGATAAATGTAACATTTTTTAGTTGAGGGGGTAAAGTGAAAAAGTGTAATAGTTTAAGGGAGTAAAATATAATTTATTCTAAGGAAAGCCTATCTACCACAAATTTGCATAACTTTACCACAAAATTTCCTAACATCAATCACAAAATGCGTAATTTCATCACAAATTAACTTAATAAAATGTCTAAAAAATTTTGGTACCATTTGGTTTAATTTTCAAAATTCAATTCTGTTTTCAATTCATGATTTGAATCAAAATTTATAACTAAACAAATTTTTAAAATACAATTCAAAATTACTTTCAAAACTCCTTTCTTCCATTTTTTTTTAAAATTATTAATCAATCACTTTTTCTCTCTCATCTCTATTTTGTGGTATTTTGGCAACAGATTAAAACGATGCGTCTTGGGTGAGAATGCAAATGCTAGACGCTAGCGTTTTTTTGGCAAAAACTGATTTGGGATTCCGATTATAATCAAAGACGTGAAATTACGATACTGCCATTAGAATTGGTGCCTTTATCATGGATGGCAATATATTACATTGGGTGAGGGCATTTTGGTAATTCTACAGTTCTACACCATGACATGACAACTTAAAAAAATATTATCTACAAAACCAAAAAAAACAATTTTTTACCAACTTCCCAAGTCACTTTATGAAAAATCCAAAAATCTTGGTTAAAACCAAAAAAGCTGATTTTTACCACCTTCCCAAAATAGGCCTTTCTCCTCTCACATTCTCTCATATTCTATACATCAATCAATCAAAAAAAAGTACAAATCATCCCAAAAATATTTTCAAAACTCATAATCAAATAAATTTTCTCTTTTTAAATCATAATTCAAAAACTCAAAACTCAAAATACAACTCCATATTCAAATTATAATTTTAAAACTAAACCAAACGAACCCTTTTATATTATAAAAGTTTATGGTTTGATTACAATATTTTTTGTTACGCTAATTTAAGGCAAAATTAAGCATTTTATAATTAATATTATAACATTTTGTGATAAAATTATATCAATTTATAATAGATGTATATAGCTTTCCCTTTATTTCTATAGCTAAAAATTTCCTTTGATTATAAAGGTCCATATTATTAAAAAAATTAGTAGATATTAAAGTGATACATGACAATATTTGTAATGCCCTCAAAAAAAAAAAAAAATTACACAATCCCATCATTTAACAGCTCTATATTCATGATTGATAAATCACATTCCCATACATACATCAGAGCTAATATTACAAAAGGGTATTTCATATAAGTTCCAACTGTTTACAACAAAATAAAATGCCCTACGAGCTTACATCTTTCTAAGTAATAACTTGGTTACAATAAAAGAAGAGTGCTAACTCTTTATATATAAAGTCCTTGGCTTGAATTTACATGTAATCACCAAAACAAAAATAACCAAACGGAGCTTTCAACACCTAAACCTTCCAAGTTAAGACCTTGGAGGTGGCATGTCACCTGTACCTGAAAATGGTATCCCAAGTAAGGTAAGCCAATACCCAATAGAGATATGCTAAACAAAATATGAAAATTAATTAAAACATTCGCATTCATAAATGTTTAACACTTAAAAGCCAACTACATTCCTTCCACAACCAATCAATGTTTATAAACCGTTTACTTTCATTTATCCAAATCAATCTACTTACATTATTCAATATTATCCAAACAACTTAAAATGAGACTACAACTCATATAGCAACACTTCAATAACAACAACATTCAACACTTCCATTTTCTTGCCATTTTACGGAATTACGTCCGAGGTAACCGACACCCAAATAGATAAAAGATTTCGGGACTTTCACCTTGGACACTCGGCCAACTTAATTATTTATGGAGTCCATCTCCTATCTCCTCCCAAATATATGGAGTACATCCCCTATCTCCTCCCACACAATATACATATGCAATGTATTTAAACAGATAGTCATATACAATGACCCACAATTCACATATTCAATGCGTTAATTCCACCGTCACATTTAATGACATAATCCAATTGATTAGTTCCAATTTCTCTAATCATCATGCAGTGTCTACAACAATTAAGACTATCCTCTACCGATAGCCCAAAGTAGTTATTTCTAAACAGATAAATAAATCTATCAGACAGATAATTTATTACATTTTTTATCGATGAGTGATTTATCAATCCAACAACACTATTTCATCTCATATTTTTCTAATTTCATGATTTCCAATTTAATTTCATATTTTCATAATTAATTTCATTAATTACACAACTGACCTATTTAGGTCCAATTAGGGCATTATGCCTCCCTTTCTCAAATATCAACCCTAAGTCTCAATTTCATCACTTATACCCAAATAACATCATTTCAAGACCTCACATACACAATGGAGTCCAAAAATAGAAAACCCCTCTTTCAAACATTTCAAATTTTCAATCCTAACTTTACCCAAACTTCCTAAATTTTACCATTTATACAAAATGACTAAAATTTATGTTAAAACTCATAAGAAGGAGTAGATTATCCTTACCTCAAATGGAGAAGTTTAAGGAGAAGAAGAAGAGAAACTCAAGATGCTCCAAAATCCAACTTTTTCGGATCAAAAGGATGCCCTCGCAATGCTCTAGCTTTTATACAAAGGGACTAGGGTAGAAACCTTTAGAATAATGTGTATTTGTAGAAAGATAGAGAGTTTGGAGAGAGAGATTGTCGATTTAGGGTTTTGGAGTGAAAGAGGAGACGAAAAAGTGATCAAAATCACGTTGCTGCGAACTAATACACATGAGGCTCGCTCAAGCGCAAGAAGCATCGCTCGAGTGAAAATGCAAAACTTCAGGTCTGTAACCCAGATGCACGCTCGAGCGCAAGAGTGCTCGCTCGAGCGAAGAAAGACAAAACACAGGGTCTCGCTCGAGTGCAAGAAAGCTCGCTCGAGCGAAGAATACTCACCTTCAGGTCCAAAAAAGACGCAGACGCACGCTCGAGCGCAAGAGACCTCGCTCGAGCGAAAAGACACACTACGCAGGGCTCGCTCGAGCGCAAGAGAGCTCGATCGAGCGGAAGCTACGTCTGAAGAAAAACCTGAGAACCCACCATCCTCGCTCGAGTGCAAGAACTTTTGCTCGAGTGAAGAAGCAAATATCCAAGGCTCGCTCGAGTGCAAAAAGCTCACTCGAGCGAAGAAGCCAAATCCTGGACAGCAACTATTTGTTCCAACTCATAACCAACCTGTTCTAAACTTAACCAACACATCCCAAAACGCAAATACAAAGAATCAAAGGATAGAAATGAGGTACAGACAACAACATACAACCACAGAACTCGAGTCCGGAATACAGTAAATGACAGGGAAAGATCGGGATCGCTATAATATTTATTTATTTAATAAAAAAACAATTAATCTACCGAATTTAAGTTCATTCGCATTATATAAATTATACAAATCAAATGTTTGGCTGGATGACTTTTCGGATAATCAATCTTACAATTGCCTAAATGACTGATTTGCACAAATTCAAACAATTTGAACGAGTCAAATTCAATAGAGGCAACGAAGTTCTTATTTAGGTTAGATTTGACATTCCTTACAAAAATTTAAAATCACTATCATATTTAAGTCACATCATTTTATTTAAGTTACATTATCTCTCTATCATATCATTTCAAATTCAACTCATATTTTATAAAAAATCAAAAAATAGACTTATTTAGAATATCTTAAACAATCCTTAAGTACTAATATTTGAACCAATAATATATTTATTATTAAAAAAATACTTCAGGCATCGAGAGCTTCAAGTATGAATGGGGCCAATTTGTGTTCATTGTTCGACCAGCCAAACGAACACTCGGATGACCGGATAAAACCTTTGTTTACCGCAATTATCATTTTATTAACCGCGATTATCAATCTCTTTATCGACTGGACGACCGATAAAACAAAATTTAAGGCCTAGTTTGGGAAGACTAAATAAGTGTACTTTTTGACTTTTTTTGTATTATGTGTAGAAAAAGTAGAGAGAAGATGTTGATTGATGTGACCCAAAAAAGATAAAAAAATGAAATAAGTGCACTTTTTTGGCAATAGCCAAACTTGGCCTAAGTCATTCAAGAAAAGATTTACGTAGCAATTATTATTATTATTTCTTTTCTTCCCAGCAACGATGCTTTCATTTCAGTTTCACATTCTTTCATTTTTGATTCTCCACCCATCCTCAGACAAACCCTAGCAAAACAATTCTCACAGCTATATATACATATATACGTATAGACAGAGAGGCGTTTCGGATGTGCTAAAATGGGTGCTGCCGGCTCCAAACTCGAGAAAGCACTGGGCGACCAGTTCCCTGAAGGCGAGCGATACTTCGGACTTGAGAATTTCGGCAACACCTGCTACTGTAACAGCGTTTTACAGGTCCAATTTTTCTATTTTTTTTCTATTTTTTTTAAATTCATTTTGATCCGATATGTTGCTCTTAGATTTGCGTCTGTATCTGTGTACATATATACATTTGTTGATATGATTCAATTTTGAAATTTACAAAAAAAAAAAAAAATTGATGCTTTTGAGATTTTGATTTCCGATTCATGCTTGTTGTGCTCGCACTGTATCGAGACTGTTGTTGTTGTTGGTGGTGTTCTTCTTAGATTGATAAAGTTTGAAGCATTTGCGTTTGGTTGTAGTTTGGTCTTCTTCTGAATAATTCAGACCTGGAGAGGCATTTGCTTAATTTCTGTGGTCCTATTTTGTCTGTATTTTGCTTGTTGTGGTTGTTTGTTTGAGGCAGAAATCTAGCATTTGGAGTTGCATCATAAATGGAATTTGGAGCTGATGGTGTATAAATTATAATCAGCTTTGGGTTTCGTTGAATGCTAACTTTTCAAACTTTGTCGTTGACAGTGATGGATGTCATTTCCGCCACAGTCCCATTCACTGCAATGATATTGTTCCCGAAATTAAGTACACAAAACAAAGGGAAATTGAATTTTCACGGGATCTCCAAATACGGTATTAAATGTGCTTGATGGGTTAATTAAAGTAGGTAAATCTCTAAATTTTGTCCACACCTATCGTCCTTTGACCGTTGCTGGTGGGTCCTAATTGAATTCATGGTTGGTGATTACTCTGGGAATTGGAAATGGAGAAAACCAGGCTTTCTGCAAAATGAAGTTCTGGGATCCTTGTAGCATAATGGTTTTATATTATATATGTTAAAAAGAGAATTTAGGCACGTGAAATTTTGACTTGTGATTAGGGATATAATTTGGTGGGTGTTAGAGAAGAAAGGAGTGACAAAAGGTTACATTGATATGATTAGTAGGGTTACACTAAGGATCAATATTAAGTTCTTATCTTTTTGCTTTAGTTATGGATGAGTTGACAAAAAATATTCAGGATGATGTACCATAGTGTATGCTTTTTGCAAATAATATTGTGTTAGTGGATGAGACTAGAGAAGGAGTTAATACTAAGTTGGAGATTTGGAGAGAATCACTTGAATCTAAAGGATTTAGGATAAACAGAACTAAGACAGAGTACATGGAGTGTAATTTTAGTACTAGTAACAATGGAAGCAGAGGAGAAGTGAGGATTGAGAATCAAGAATTATCTAAGAGTGAACATTTTTGTTATTTAAGATCGATTATCACAACGGTTGGGGAGATTGGAATGAATGTGGTCCATAGAATTAAGGCGGGGTGGCTTAAGTGGCGGAGTGTGTTTGGGGTACTGTGCGATAAGCAAATACCCACCAGACTAAAAGGGAAGTTTTATAGTAGACCATCAATGTTGTATGGGTCGGAATGTTGGGTAACAAAGCAATAACATGTAGATAAAATGAGTGTTGCTAAGATAAGGATGCTAAGGTGGATCTATGATAAGACTAGAAAAGATAGAGTTAGAAATGAGTATATCCGAGAATGGGTAGGAGTAGGGAGACCAACAGAGACAATAGTAAAGAGATGCGATATAGTAACGGTAGATAGAAGTGTTAGGGGAAGAGGCAGACCTAGATTGACGTGGACTAGTGTAGTAAATAAAGATATGAACCTTCTTAATTTGACTAACGAAATGGCCTCTGATAAAGTCGAGTGGAGAAGAAGGATTCATGTAACCAACCCCATTTGATGGGACTTGAGGCTTGGCTTGGTTTGGTTAAATTTTGACTTGTGATTGTGACACAATTTGCAGATTTTAAGCCTCTCATTTAGTAAATTTCATGTCCGTGGGGCGTAAGGTGAATCTGTTGGGACACCTTGATACTGGAGCTTTGATGTTAAAACTTACTATAGCCTATGGGGTGGAAAATCCCCATTTATTCCTCAAACCCCTTCTTTCATAGATGATTCTCAATTTGATTTCATTCACTGGAAAAAGGGAAGTTAGGATAACAATTCAAGTTTTGTCACCTCTTTCAGATTGATCTATTATGAATGGAAAGGCAGATCCGAAAGAATGTCTTCCTACATCCAGATTGTGATGATGATCCACCTCTTTTGACTGAAAAATCCATTTATGCCACGAGTCCATTCTTTCTTCGCTTGATGTGTTGATGAGACTGTCCACTGTAATCTCAAAGAATGAATTATGAACCTGACCTTGTTTGATCCCATCGACTAAACAAAACAAACCCCTTTCCCGCAGTTGGTTGATCAACTTGACTTCAATTGGTTCATATTAGTTATCCTTGGGTAGGTATTTTGAAGTCTGAAGTTCATATCATGGTTACCTTTTTGCATGTTTAGCAGCCCATCAAAAGGCTCTTACAATGAATAACTTGAGAATGAAAGATCCTTCCTAACTGGTGTTGCATGTCCAAGGAGGTTGGGGAGATTTGGTCTTTATTGTTCTTATATTTTTGAATTGTTTGATTCATGCCTTTCTGGTTGTATTACTTGATTGATAAAAAGGTAACATAAATAAGAGAAAGAAGAGGACTTGGGATTTCGCTCCTCTTTGCTTGATATGGAGCATTTAAGAGGAATGAATGTTCCTTTAGTTCATGAATTGAATGTATCCTATTTGGAAGTTTTGCGTAGTTGGGTAACAAAGAGAGTGAACCCAGCTCTTGAAACCTTTTGGATTTTCTTTATTTACTAATAGAATTCAGGTACATTTCAGTTATATGAGTATGTAGCTTGTTTGTATACTTTGTGCGTGCATGGGGCATGTGTACCTAGATTGCGCCCCTTAGGAAGAACCTTGTCTATGATTTCTTTAATTTAGAGATGTATCAATAGATTCCCAACTTTCCTTAAACATCATTCAACAAACAATACTGATTTGTTTGTCGGCATTTAATGGTGGGCTAGCAGGAGGTTTTGCATTTCTGCTCTATTGGTTGCTAGCAAAATGTAGAAAAAGGAAATAAATTAATAACTTATCAGCAATTAAATTCTTGACACTTTCACCTAACCTATTAAATCTATCTAGTAATTTGAATTCAATTTTTATGTTTTGGGAACAAATTTTAAAAAGCATATAATTCATTTATCTCCCTATTGTCTGTAACTGAACTTGGGTTGGGAAAATAGCTGCCAATGTCCTTTAGCAGCCCATATCCACTGCATTTGAAGTCATCTGGGAGAGGCTTCACAGTGTCACAAATTATTTTATGAAGGCAACTTCAATTATAATCTGCTTTATGATCTTTTGCATTTGATAAGTTGTTTAAGTAATTGTTTGCTTTGAGACACATTTGTAGTCTCGTGTGTATTCCTTTCTAATGTCATCCTTTTTATGCAGGCCCTCTATTTCTGTGTTCCATTTCGTGAGCAGCTGTTGGAATATTATACAAATAACAAAAATCTTGCAGATACAGAAGAAAATCTATTGACATGTCTGGCAGATTTATTTACACAGGTAAAACTCTAGACATAGTTGCTGGATTGTTTCTTTACTTCTTGCAGTATAGTCGTACTTCCTCGTCCCTTATTGTATTTTTGTTTTGTTTTAAATTCACCTTGGCAATTCCTTTCTCAGGTTCCTAAATTTCTAGAATTGATCACCTAATTGCAGCATGGTCATCTGGACAAGACAATTTTTGCCATGTTTTCTTATTTTCAAGGGAGGGGGTGGGTTTTGCATAGAGTTATGTTGGTTGTTGGGTTTGCATAAAATGCTTTCAAACAGTGGCTGAGCCAAAAAACCAACCAAGAGGGGCAAAATATAAGGTAAAAAGGCTACATATATAATGTACCCCAAAAAAAAAATGCTATATATATCTAGTGGACTGTACAACAAATATATATGGGAGAAGATAGACTAGCAAAAATGAGAGAAGCTGTGAGCATAAATATATGATTGTGTCAATTAAAACTGTTGAGTAGCACAATTTACAATTTAACATGTTTTCTTTCAGTAGATAGAGAATGGTGTAAAAATTTTAAATTTTGAAGGCCTATCACCGAACAAACAAAAAAATAAATAAAAGTTGAATTTCGACAGCATATTGAATTTCTTGAATGATATCCTTTTGACTGATTTTGGGAGGATTTATTTTGAAGGTGGTGTTGGACTGAGTCTCATTGCTCGTGACTCTTCGTTGTCAACTTTCCCCATCCAAGTAAATTAACTTGCAAAAAAAACTGGCTGGTGCTAATGGGATCTCTTATTTATTCACATAATGAGCGTCTATATGCATGTGACCATACATGCACATATATTTAACTGTTTACTAATAAATTTACCTGAGCCCAGACTTGCTCCTGTGTAGATAAGTTCACAAAAGAAGAAAACAGGTGTCATTGCTCCAAAACGCTTTGTACAGAGATTGAAGAAGCAAAATGAAATTTTCCGCAGCTATATGCACCAGGTATGTGCTTAATTTGATTATTGGTTTTGGCATATTGAGTTCAGGTGCAAGCACCAGGAATATTTAATGAATAGTTTATTTTTAGAGCGCTTTCTGGCCATGCTTCTGTCTCATCGTGGTATTTTCAGTTTCAACCTTGACTCTGTGTACTCAGGTTATCCTTCTAAAGGAGTTTGATGACTTATCTTATCAGTTGCAAATTTCTTGAATGAAATTTGATTAGACATGAGGCAAATTCAGCACAAAGATGACACTTGTGAATTGCAATGCCTAGTTTTTTGTCTGCACTTTTTGCAACCCCTTTCCTTCTTTCAAAACCAAAATTTATGATTATTTTCTTTTCACTCTGCATGTTTCTTGTTTGTAAAGCACCATGGAGCTACTATACGGATGGTTACTGCGATTGGTTCTTTTACAACTTACAATAGCCTTGTAAGATTGGATCCATTACATGTGTTACAAGACCTCTTAGTTTTTACTAAATGGAATCTGTCTCTTGCTTTGACATACACTGACATGTATTATCCGGGAGATGCATCCCATCAAGATTGAAAATGGCTATAAACAAAATATTATTAGGTACATGCCTGTGGAGGTTTGGATGGAATTAAAATATAACCTCTTGAAGGCATGGGGATCATGCTACTGCGGGATCCTAAAAAAATGGCAGGTATCTACAATGCTAGGACTTTGGAAGTTTTTCCTGGATGAGTTAATATTTGCATTGGAGTGAGTGTATGGTTGTGTTTGATTTCCAAATTCCACAAACTTTCTGTCTCACCGTCATTATGCACAGAATTCCAACTTTTGCCCATCTTTTTTATTGCATGCTTTGCTCAATGTAATTGGTGCTTAGGCTTGTGCTATATTGAGCACAGTAATGACTTCAAAAAGAGATGCGAAAAGAAAGGAGAGGAGGAGTAGGGGGAAGGCAGGGTCCATGTCCGTCCTTACTGCTATGATTTTCTCACATTAAACCTTCAAATCCTTGCCTTTTGGATTTATTAAAATTTTCTTCTTTCAATGTGATAAGAAGACTTGATTAAAGTGGAAAAACTGTGTTCCTTGAAGTATATGGAAAGAAGCTTGATAAAGTTTTACCTTTTTTGTTTTTTATAATGCATAAATTGAGAAAATCTAACCCCCCCCTCCCTTTCCCAACAAAAAAAAAAAAGGAAACTGGTAAAATATTTGCCTTTATTATACAAATATGGAGAAAAGCTTTTAGAGAAAAGGATATAGCTAAATTAATTACATAACAATTGCATTGTCAAGGCAAAATTTACAGTAAAGTAGGATTTTAGGCCTCAAAATTATCAACGACATTATCAATAGATGGATGACGAACTCATATCCCTTAAATTAACATGAATAATATTTCATACTGTGCAATTGAGATAATAATATGCTATGCCCATTTTGTTTGAACCCCCCCTCCCCTTCTTGGGTGCAATTACTAAGTTTGTCCCTGGCTGAGTCCAATCAATGTCTGCTTTTGCTTTTGTTTTTGTTTTTGGCAACTCTCTTCCTCTTAAAGAAATGGAAGAATTTATTAAATCCATACTTTCCTTTAGGCAGATGAGGTTGTGTGTGATATGTGCATTAGCTACTACACTTTGGAACTATATTAAATCCAGACTTTTACCTTGTATGGATTATGAATGTTTATTTTTCCTAATTATATTTACTTGTAGTCGTGTATCTTATGTTGCATCTTTGCTGAATGCTTCCATATAAATTCTTACAGTATGAACTTTTTTCAGCTCACTGTATGGCCATGTTTCTACCATTCTGTCTTCTCGTGTGATTTGAGAAACTAATCATCTTCCTCTTTGTGTAGGATGCTCATGAATTTTTGAACTATTTGCTGAATGAACTTGTTGACATATTGGAAAAAGAGTCCCATGCTGGAAAGAGTGATCCAGAAACTTCATCACCATCTGAAAAGGTTGCAAATGGGCCAAAGACTGTTCATGCCAATGGTGCTAAAAAAGAGCCTCTTGTCACTTGGGTGCACAAAAATTTCCAGGTGACTCCTTGTCCATTCATTTGTTCTCTGACCTTGCAAATTAATTTAGAAAATTCTGTTTTTGGACATTTGATAAGCTTTAGTCCTGAAATACCTCCTTGTTTTCTTTCTGCATGCCACAATGCATTATGCTACTTTTTTGTTGTTGTTTAGATTATCTCTCAAGAATATAACATCTCTGATGGCTGATCTTCAGGGTATACTCACAAATGAAACAAGGTGCTTGTGGTGTGAGACGGTAACAGCAAGGGATGAAACCTTTTTTGACTTGAGCCTTGATATTGAACAGAACAGTTCTATAACAAGCTGCTTGAGAAACTTCAGTTCCACAGAGACTCTAAATGCTGAAGACAAATTCTTTTGTGATAAGTGCTGCAGGTAGGTGGTATTTGCTCAGTTCTTCGTTGGTGTACTTGTTGGAATTCTTTATTGTTAATTGCCTTAGTATTGGTTGTGTTTTTTAGCTTTTGCTATTTTCCTGCCTTTTTTATTTGAATGGGAAATTGTAATTGATGTTTTCCTGTTAGTGCTTATGTAAGGGTGGTGGGTAAGCACAGGTAAGCACTGATAATGACATCATTGTCTAGATGTTTCAAGCTTTTGAGGCACCCCAATTGCTGCTGACTTTATTAGCTCTCTCTCTCTCTCTCTCACACACACACACACACGCACACACATAATGTTGCTCAAAGCGGAATTTATTTTTACTTGAATTAAATAGGATGAGTTTGGATACCCCGTGGAAATGATTTAGTTCGTTTTGTCTCAAATAGCCTTTCAAGTGGGTTGATTTTACCTTCAGTCTTTGACAAGGTGCTGGATGAGTTACATATGCACATGATCTGTTTTAGAAACAAAACTATTGAAATTGTTGAGCATCTTTATATTATTCAAGCCTTTCTATATTTTTATAGCCTGGTCGCAAAAAGATGTGCAGGTCTAGCGCAATAACAAAAGATGAATGATCTCAAAAAAGAAGGAAAGAAAAATAAATCTCAATTTTTATTTCTGTTAAGTCAGATAATTGAGTTTGGTCCATTGTTTCATAATGTAGTTTGCAGGAGGCTCAGAAGAGAATGAAGATAAAAAAGCCACCTCACATTCTGGTGATCCATCTAAAGCGGTTCAAATATATCGAGCAGCTGGGCCGGTACAAGAAGTTGTCATACCGTGTTGTATTCCCGCTCGAGCTCAAGCTGAGCAATACAATGGAAGATGCAGATGCTGAGTATTCCCTGTTTGCTGTAGTCGTTCATGTTGGAAGTGGGCCTAACCATGGACACTATGTCAGCCTAGTGAAAAGTCATAACCATTGGTTGTTCTTTGACGATGAAAACGTGGAGATGATTGACGAGTCTGTCGTGCAGACTTTCTTTGGTTCAGCACAGGAATATTCTAGTAATACAGATCATGGGTACATCTTGTTCTATGAGAGACTTGCTCCAGGTAGCACAAGCTGAGAAGAGGTGATTCGATTGTGTCAAAATTTTCTATTTTAAACTCCTTTTCCTTCTGATGTCTATGTTTATTATCATCTTTACCTTTTTTTTTTAACCTTATATCTTGTGGGAGGAGATTCATGTGTCTAGTCAGAGAAATGTACACTTAGATGGTTGCCATGTACAGTGGATGGTGGAAGCTTGCCATCCTTTGTTTTTCCAACAATAAGGTGAAAAAAAAAAAAAAGGGGAAAAAAATTGTAGTGTAAATGGTGATGCGAGAATTTCAGTCTTAGACGTTGAGAATGTTATAACTTGCAATAGGATGCAAATGGGATTCAATTACTTGCAGATATTCTTCATTGGCCTTCGTGAAAGGTGTTATCAATATCAGGTTTTTGTAATGTATGTGGATTTTGGTTAATATCTAATATATTTACATAGAGCTACTGTTTCGTACACCTTTTGTACTATTTCTATGTGATTTTTAGTTTTACTGATTTGTAATCTTGACTCTTGTGAAGGTCTTGGCTGGTAGATTTTAGGCTTTACGACCTGTTTGTTTACCGTATAAAAGGGCTGAATATAAGAGATTGGATATGATTGAGGTGGGTCTTATATTTTTTTTTGTCTCCTTATATCTCGTATTTAGTTGTTCCGAATATAGGGAGTTTGAATAGTATATGATACAAAAGGAGATATGCAATACCCTCGTGATATTGTATATCTCCCACTGTCGGATGTAGCTCATCTTTTATTCAAAGATAAAAAATAATTACTCTCTTCTTATTTTATCCTATATTCTGTTTTAACCAAACATAGTATAGGAAATCACATAGAGCATCCTTGCAGTTTTATTTGTAACATTTTAACCCTTGAATTTCATACCAGAGTGCAGGAAAATTTTATTTTCATACACCTAATTAGTTCAGGGCATACCTTTAATGAAATATTAATTTAATAATAATTATATCCTAAATAAAAATGATCATAATAGACATCAAGCAATACCCATAATATTATGTAGAAAAATTCTTTGTATACATCTTTTAAGAGCAAAAAAATCTCAATATATAAGTTTTGAGTTAAAATTTATATTAAAAAAAAAATCCTAATGTTTCCATTGTTTACTTTACTCTCAAAATTTATATTCCATTGATTATATGTTTTGTTTAGAATCTTCTATAATTCTTGATTTTTGTGATAGAAGAGTTTCAAATCAATAGAAATTCAAATTCAAATAACAATATGCTTGGTTACAACAAAAACAATTATGAAAATGTAAGTTTTTTGTGCAAAATTATTTTTCACGATTTTAATTCGGTAAACCAATGCCTAAACATGTTACTTTTTTCGGATATCAATTGTCGAAATTATTAATTCTATTCGAAAATCAAGTTCCGAATTTGGATATAAATCAAGTTCCAAATTTAGATATAAACCAAATTCCAAACTCAACTTTCCAATTTAAGAATTTATTTCGGAAACCAAGTTATGAATTTTTTTACATGTTTCGGAAATTAAAAATCGAATAAACCTTGTTCATTCAGATGACCAATATCGAATAAGCAAAATCGAATTGCTTCCAGAAAAAAATGAGAGTTTATGAAAAATAAGAGATAGATGAAGTTGATACAAGTCGATGACAATTAATGACTTTTTGGATGTTGACTAAATTGTTGATTGAAGGGATCAGTTTGATGATATAGCTGGAAATCAAATGAGGTAGTTTGCTGTATAATCTGAAGATTCATGGAGCAATTTGCTAAGGGATTTCTTGTGAAAGATGTTGCTGTGTTTTCAAGGTGGGTGGAATAAAAAATGATTCTACACCATTGATTCTCTGTGAAACAAATAGTTTAAGTGGTGTTTACAAGGATGTTAGTTTAGAGTATCATTGGAACATGAGAGGTATGAACAGAGAGTAAAAACATAAAACCAATTTCACAAGGGTATGCATTGAAAAATTATATACACAAAGATAAAAGAGTGTGTGGAAATAAAATTTTTCCAGAATGCAATTTCGGAAGAATGTAATAGATGTTGTAAAAAGTCTAATTACCCTTATTTCTTTCTCTAATTTTTTTCTTAATGTCATTACAAACCAGAACATCCCTCTCATTTTGCTTTAATTTTTCTGTATTCATTTCCTCTTCTTCTTTTTCTCTCGTTTATTTCTCATTCCATGGCAAACCACACATCTCTCATACCATCATCAAATACATATTTCTCTCTCTAAAATTTAGACCCAAATAAACAATCCATACAAATCTTAGGAAGGATTCGTTTTGCATTTTCACCAAACACCCACTAAACAATTGAGACTGCCAGATTAATTTTTTTTGAACAACTACTCTTTTTCATATTTTTCCAAACAAACACAATATTCACTAAGATAGTTATTTTCTAACATCTAATCCCATGACAAAATAAACATGAGATACAAATCATATCTAGCCAAATAGTTTAGGAACAAATAATCCTAGAAGGTGAACACACAGCACACACTGACTAAGAGTAGAACACGCAGCCCAAACTCTGATTTTCTGAACACGCAGCCCAAATTGATGGTGAACACACAGCCCACAATGGAAATAATTCCATTAAAGAGTATTTGTCTCATGGTGTTATGTCAACGACGAATGTGTCGTGACTTACTGTATATATGCTCTACTTATTGCTGATTGACTATCGCAATGTATGCATATAGTAGACACTAGTTTTGACCACATTAGAATATCTTCAAAGAAGTGGCGAAGCCATTCTGCTTCTTTCCATAATTTTAAGAATAATGGAGGTAAACACATTAGAACACAGGCGTATGGGAGACAATTAATTAAGTCAACCTATAAGTTTTTTGATGGTCGTGGATCCGACTAGGCCTCTCCCTTGATGTTTTGAGGTGATTTGGAGTGCCACGGTGCGTACATATCCTTGGAAAACCCTCAACTTTCTCTATTTTGTGCTTCGTTGCAGTTTGGTGTCACAGCACACCAGTGGCCGGCAGCCTGCCACTGATGGTCGGCAGTGTGCCACTCTTGGCCGGCGGGAACTGTTCAAAAATTACGAAATACGAAGACGGCGTTGACAGCTGCCTTCCGCGAATGGGAACGTGCCACGTGTATACGGAATAGAAAGCCTACTAATTTGTAAGACTTTATATTTTCAATTTATTTAGATATTTTATTTGTGTTTTCTATTGAAAAATAGTTTATATATTCTATTGTGTTTTTAATTTATTTTTAATTTGGAAATAAATTTACGTTTATTATTTTTAAAATAAATGTGATTCGACCCTATTATTATAGTTATTCAATCAAAGAGAATGCATAACTACGATTTCCTTTTCAGTTTTGATTGATGGATGTCAATCTCAGACCTTTCAACCGTCAATTGGTCTTAAGGCAGAGTGATCCATTATTCGGGAGGACTTTTTTCAGCACTAATTCATCGATTACGTACCGCCGATGCTTTACTCACTTATTGTAAGCCCGAGCTATGTCTTGCTAGTATGCTATTAACCACAACATTGCCCTATCACGTCTTTCTTTGGTGAAATCGAGTTCACTTCGGAGTAGTTCATCATTCGTGCCACTGCCTTGAATACCTGTGGGTGAAGGTTGGGTTGTTTAGGTTGGAACAAATCATCAAATGTGAGTTTTAAGCCCACTAGATAGAGGCAAAACATCTTTTCTTAAGCCCACCTGAGGGTGGCAAAATCTGCATCTTTAAGCCTACATACGAGTAGCAAACCAAGTCAATTTTTGAATCAGATGCCGATAAGGTCTTTAATTCGCAAACCGAAACGAAAACATGAACATATCTTTCTATGTTAACAGATATACACACACATATAATGCATCCTATGAAGATGCCATCAACCAACTCCGTCACCTGAATTGACAACAACGACAGGGTATGCCCGTCGTGGTCATAAAATAATATTGTGGATCTCTTCCATTATTAAAAATGAGAGAGGGACCTTAGACTGATTTTCCCTTTGATTTAAAAATAAGAAAAAAGTTATATTTTAATTGGATAGTGAAAAAATAGTTTGAAAATGTATTGAATTTTTGTATTTGTATTTTTTTGTATTAGTGAATTTTTAAAATATTTTACACAAATTTTGCACTTGTTAACTGTATTTAAATAAGTAAGTAGATCTAAAAGATTAAAATGTTAAAAAAAAAAAAAACCTATAGTTTACTGGCTGATCAATGAATAAGACATCTTGAACTGCTCTGTCGTTTATGTAAACTGAGACAATAGATCTCACACGGGAATTACTCCTACCACCATTCTGTTCAATTAAGTGAAGAACAGTTGAAGTATTTCATTAAAATGAAAAACTTACAATGATCCAAACTCAGCCTCGCAGAGGTTTACAGCAACAATCTACTTGAAACTACTCCTATAAACGAAGTGCAGTGCAGGAATTTAAACCCACACATTTCTATTTATCCATCAATCACCTCGGGGAGGGACGAAAAACGAGAGAATGAAGAACATAGAGGTGTGAGTTTTGTGATGGGTCTGAGGGAAAAAAAGTTGATAGCTAAAAACACAACAAAATTCATTTGAAAAGTCATAAAAACGAAAGCCTATAACAAAAGAGTAAATTTCTTATGTTGAATAAGGGTATTTTGGTCATTTTAATTTGATTTAACTCCATAAACAAATATTAAACCAAAAAGTCCAAAGCCAGCTTTTTACCAACTTCCCAAATTAATTTTCAAAAAAGTTAAAAACCTTGGTAAAAAATCAAAAGTTAACTTTTTACTAACTTTTCAAAACACCCATCTATACTTATTTAATAAGTTTTATATTTTTATTAGAACACCCATTTACTCACTGAATTAAAAGATTATTAACACACAAAAGCAGATTTTCCATTATCTTGCTTGTACACTTTAACACACTAAAATACAATTTCAACATCAAAATTAGAGTCTCGTTCAAAAAAAACATTTATAATTTGAAGAATAATGATTTGTAGCATGCCCAAAACGTCGTCGTTTTGGGCGTTCTGGGTTTTTTTTTTTTTTTTTTCTTCTTCTTCTTCGTCTTGCAGGTCTGAAACAGAGGGAGAGGAGAAGGAGAGGGAGAGGGAGAGGAGAGGGAGAGGGAGAGAGAGAGAGAGAGAGAGAGGAGGCAGGTCGTCGCAGCCCTCCGCCGTCGCCTCTGCCTGATTGTCGCAGCCTCGCCTCCGCCGATCGTCGTCGCAGCCTCTGCCTTGCAGCCCCCGCACCTCCTCCACCTCGTCCTCTAGTCCTGTTGGCCCCCTCCCCTCCTTCCTCCTCCTCCTCCCTTCTTAGGAAAGCTTCTATCTCTCTTTCTTTTTCTTTGGCTAGGCTCGAGCCGAGAAGAAAGAAGCGTTCTTCATCCCCCTCTTGAACGAGGATTTTCCTTAGTGTTTCTTCACTTTTTTCGGTCGGCAACCCTCTCCCACCACATAACCA